TAGAGACAGTGCCAATTGTGCGGGAATAATTTCACACAAAAAGTAACCATCTCGTATAGATGGAAGGGTGGTGAAGACGCCTCGTGGAACCTGGAAAACAAGAGAACACTTAGATGAACTGATGGCCAAAAGCGGCCAAAGAGATTTCGATACTTATGTCAAATCACAATTCAAAGAGAAGTATTGAGTGAATAGGCTAAGATTCAATCCCCTACCTAGTTCCCAGGGGCTTTTATTTATAGTGGTGGGAAGTTATGTTCCAAAGGGACTTGAACTCTTGGTTGTGATAGGATAGACTTCATCACTAGCTCCTAGATATTCAAGGTAGAGCTAGACCAGGACACTTGCTTCTAGGTCCTTATTGTCATTATATCTTGGTTGTTCGTAGTAGCATTAACTAGGACTCTTTCTCCTTAGTCCCTTATCACCAACCCCTAGATATTCGGAGTAGAATTAGACTAGGACTCTAAGTTCTTGGTTGGTCCTTAGTTGAGTAGGAGTCTCCTAGCGAAAGTGGACAAGGGAGTTCATACAAACTAAGATAGCTAGCAGATAGCTGAGTAGTTGAGGATTAGTGGTTACAAGTAGGCTCGTGTAAGGACCCTTCGTGGATTCGTGTTGGCCAACAGAGCTAGACTAGGACATTTGCTTCTAGGTCCTTATCATTATATCCTGGTTGTTTGTAGTTGCATTTTACTAAGACTCTTGCTCCTTAGTGCCTTCAACCTCTAGATATTCAAAGTAGAATTGGACTAAGATTCTAAGTCCTTGGTTGGTCCTTAGCTGAGTAGGAGTCTCCTAGCGAAAGTGGACAAGAGAGCTCGTAGAAACTAAGGAAATAAGGAGATAGCTGAGTAGTTGAGGATTAGTGATTGCAAGTAGGCTTGTGTAAAGGACCCTTCGTAGACTAGTGCCGGCCGACAGGCCCTCGCCCAAGAGGCTGCCGAATGGCGGTGGCTCTCCTAGGTAGGCACCGAGCGACACTAGTAAAGTAAAGTGTCCTCATGAGCACTTGGTTGAACTAGAGGCTTCCACTTTTGCCTCCTTAAGTGTGACCCACATGGCTTTGGTCCTTTGTAACTGCCGGTCGGCAATAGCAAAGTTGAATGGAGTCCTGCATGCCTACAAGGATTATGTCCCAAGTTCAATTAATGGGTTATAGATAATGAAATTGCTTCTGACAATTTAATTAGGTTAAGGTCTGACTATGGTTCAAATTGTTCTTCGTGAGTGGCTATAATTTTTCCCCGAGTCTAAGCTCCTCTAGAAGACTTCCTTAGCTAGTAAGGGTTGTTATGTTCACACCCTTCCACATCTGATCCCTCTAACTTTTTAATAGCACAAATAAATAAATAAGTGCATTAAATGGAATCCCAACCTTGTATAATTTTAAGAAAAAAATTTATTTTACCCCTTCGTGGTTTACTCCAATTATACAACACCTCCTTGTGGATTAAAAATAACAACACAACCCTCCCATACTTATGGAACTAAAATGCACTAACTAACTCCGTTAGAGGCAAGGTTAAAATGACCATGATAGCCCACTGTTCTTCTTCTCTAATAATTCCACCCGATTCTTCTTTTTCGATCTAACCGACCACCCCCTCCATTCCACAAAGTCAAGCCATTATCTATTAAGGGTGCAATTTGAGTGGGCCAACTCGAATTCAACTTGAACCCAATTCAAAAAAACTAGTGTTAGAGTCAAGGGTAAAGAGCTCGAGTTAATGGGTTTAATCCAAACCTAACCCGAATTGATGAAATTAGGCTCCACCCAAATTCAAATCGAATTCATGTATTATATTTATATAAACAATATAAAAATAAAATATAAATACATATTTTTCAATTATTTTTATTTAAAAGGGGAGTGAAACATAATTTATAAAGAAAGAAATTTACACAACCTATGTAGGGTAAGTAAAAAAGACAAAAGAAAGATAAGGAGTTATCATCTCATATCGGATAGACAACTCAAATGACCTCTCCCCTCTCTCTTATATAAAAAAAGGCCCTTACACCTTTAATAAGTTATCTTGATGGGTTTCAGCTTAGTGGGTTATGTAAGTCTATATAATAGTCCAACATTATGCAAAGACTTACACCTAATTTAAGATTATGGTTTGTTGAGCTCGAATTAAAAAACCCGAGTTATCCGAAATTAACTCGGGCAATACTCGAGTTGAGTATCTTGAATTGAGGTAATATTAGAGTTAAGGTTGAAAATTTTATACTTATTGTTGGATTAGAATTAATCTCTTGGATTAGAATTAATCTCTCAACTTGGTCAAGTTGCACCCCTACCACCAATGTATAATTACACCAAAAAATTATAATGGTAAACCGACAACTACACAACAAGGCCACTATTTCAATAATCACCACCCATCATTTTAACCTCTGTCCCCAAATTCAACTAGCCATCATTGCCATCTCCATTCCCAATTAAAATAATTCGACCATCACAGATTCGACAACCAATAAATTGAAAAATAAAAAAAATAAAGAGACCTGAGAAAATGGGATATCAATTGAAAGAGGTGGTGAGGTGGTAGTTAATGGGTCAAACCCAAGGGCCTAACTCAAATTATAAGCCCTGTCCGAATTTACAGTCCATCTCCAAGAGATCCAGCAAGTCCAACTCAATGTGGTCAATTCAGACAAACTCATCAAGAATCAAAGAGTTACATCAGTAAGGAGTATGCAAGGTCATCCAAGAGCCTCCTCCTAGCCACCTTGGAGTAAGGGTCATCCCAAAAGCCTCATCCAATCTGCCCTAGAAGAAGTCAACTCTCACCTCATCTTTTGACCGAGTCCTATGGAGAGTATTGTAACTATTAAATCACCTCCTCCGGATCAGCTATTTAAGTACTATTAAATCACCTCAATCTGTTATGACCGCCAGACTAACCATTCAATTACTATTCATTATGAGACGACTATAAAATTGTAAGCCCCATCAACATTTGAGGAACATATCACATTTTGTTTAGCACAACTCTCTCCTTTCCCTCACAGCTTGTTGCTCTCTGCTTTTCTTGTACATTTGAATTAATAAAATACTCAGCGACCCTAGCCATTTAAAAGTGGACGTATGTCACTTTAACTGAACCATTATAATTCTCGTCTTCTCTCTACTTTAATTATTATATTTATTATTCATATTTAACAGGTGATGTATAAATCTAATTTGTGCATCATCAATAGTACTTGTGGCTGAGAGAGAGAGAGAGAGAGATGGTGACCGTTGGTGGTCAAAAGCAAGAGGTGGAGTGGCGGTCAAAAGCAAGAGTTGGATCCAGTGTAGGTTCTGGCTATTGATGGGAGAGAGGAGAGAGGAGATATGTGAAGGGGAGAGTGTTTTGGTTATTGTTTTTAATTTCAACTAAAAATGGTATTTGGATCATTTTAAGCGCATTGAGATTTGGGTCATTTTAAATATTATGATATTCATAAAAAATAAATTCTACATGACTTGATTCTATGGAATTATTAAGATTCGAAATCAAAACGCCTTTATTTACCATTTATTTCTATTATCAGTTGAATTACTCTTTGGAGATATGTTTTAATCTTTACAATTTGCCTTCTTCATGTCCAATCTCTGGGATGGCGCTTCATTCACACCATCAGTTAAATTAAACAAAAAAAATGTAACGGCACATTTTATCCCAATAACTAGAAGAGGTTTATGTGTTATTTTTAATCCACAAGGAGGTGACATGCAATTAGAGTAAAGCATTTACCTAATTTTAATGGAACAACTGTTCCTGATTGTTATTTTGTAGTAAATAAATTAGGAAAGTAACGCCCGACGAGCTGTCTGTTTCTCGTCTTTTTCCTATTTGCCCTCGTCGCCGGCCCAACAATTACATACATAAAATATACGTAAATCAATCTAAGACTGTAAACCTCCATTTCCTGAAGCTCCCCTTTTCAAAACCCACATCACTTTTCTCTCTCTCTCTCTCTCTGAAGGAATTTGATCAAGATGAACGACCTCCTCACGGTAACTTGATTCTACCTCTTTCCCTTTTTTCATGTTATACTATTTTATTGTTCTTAATTTACAGTGGTTTGGGGAGTTTTGTATTACTAGATTAGTATGAAACGAAGTTGTGATGCCAGTGAATATTGTCTTGTCAAGCCTATTTGATTGATTCATCCTGGTTTCAGTTTGGTACTACTGGTGTTTATGATTTCGAGTGCAATTCATACGATTTTCTTGTGGTTCATTGTAACAATTGAATTTTTCAGAGAAAACCCACTAGTAATTTTGGGCTAATTTCTTACGACTTCCCTTTGTTCTTTTTTCCCCGTGAAATAAATTAAGCAGGAATTGTGTCTTTTGTTTTAATCTTAATTCGTGTTTCCATAACTGAGTCTGCTTTTAGTAAGATCATCTCCATTCATGACTTGAACTTTTAATCATAGATGAGTAAAGAAGCTTGATTTGATCCAAAGACACCTTCAAATTTTTCCTCAAATCATTTTAAACATTGCTATAATCTCCCAAGATCACAATATGTACTCCATCAAGTGGTAACCTGTTTCTGAAAATGTCAAAAGAGGCAAAAATTAGCACATGTGCATTTAATGATTTGCCATGATGGGATAAAACCTGAGGCGGTGGGCCAGAAGGAGTCTTGAATATACCTGTGACATTGCTTTGGGGACCAAGCACCAGTCACATAGAAAATAAAATGGAAGCCTTGTCAATAGATTTTGATTTCACAAAAGAGTTCCTGGCAGGACTTTGTCGTTCTTATCTTGATTATTGTAATGTTATTGTTTCTCCACAAATCATTTTCTGGGTGTCAAAGGTTTTGCACTCATCCTACCAACATTGTGCATCACCAAAGTGGTGTCATGTCCAGCTTTACTGCTCACTAATCAACGGACTCTAGAAATCTCTCTTTTAGCACTTTCAAACGAACTGAAGCCAGCATTCGTGCGAACTCCTAATAGCACCAAATGGCACTTAGAAAACAAGGAAGATGGGTGAGCAAGCGGGCAACCATATCTGCATCATGGAGGCTGAAGTGAGTTCATGAAGATTGACATAAAGTGTAAGGCTGATAAAGCATCTCATTGTAGAGGAGCACAAAAAGTACCATGAGTGACGATGGTTATGAAAGGGCTAATTTTTATTTTTTTTGGTCAAAAAAGGGCTAAAATATAACCATTAGGATTTTAGGTAAAAATTTGATGCTCTTTTGATCTGAGTCAAGGTTTGGTTCTTCTTGATCTGCATTTGAGTAAAATATTGAAGCTTACTTTTTGTTTTTTGCCTTTTTTAACCTAGGTTTAGATTTCAGTCTAAGTTGACTAAGGGCTGGAGATGTTCTTAGGCCTACTTGTATTACATTCTTCTTATAAATAATTCCAAAATACTAAATATTGCAGAAATAAGACTTCAGCTTGTCCCATTTGTTTTGCTTCTTTAGTGTTTTTCTCTCAGGACATCTCTATATGCTGCGATAAATAGAATTCTGTAGGTTAATGTGAATACTCTATGTTTCTTAGTTTTCTCATGGTAATTCAACTATCCTTTTCAAGATAAGTTTGTTTGGTTTTTCGAGCTCATAGTGCAAAAAATTATAAGTCGTGTAATTGTGTACCATTTCAGGATTCATTTGTCAGTGATGCTAAAGAACATCCTTCAAGAGGACCGGATATTGAAATGGGCACCCGGGTTCCAAGGAGTAACTCGGATTTGGGAATGGAAGCTTTTAACAAGCAGGTACGTCCTTCCAAGTTATTTGAGTTGCAAAAATCTTTTGTAGTACTGTTGTGGACATTTAATGCAAGCCTTTAGGGCATCTGCTCCTGTACAATATTTTTCATTTATTATTTTCTCTCATTTGCTTAATCACTCTTCTGTTCTTTCATTGTGATGTAGATACAAGAAGTTGAGAAGCATGTGGATAAGCTTTTTGAGTTGCTTAAAAAACTTAAGGTATGAATAGTGTCGATCATAGGCTTTTTACTTATAATGTTGCATCAAGAAAACTAGAAGCAACTTTGTGGATCTGTATCTATAATTAGGATCGGCGTTAACTAGTAAGTATTATCTTATGTATATTTTGATTGCAGTGGAAGATAATCCATATATATGAGTCTTTCCCTTTTTTTAAATCTTCGAGTACAGTTGTTTACTTTGGGCACTATTTCAGTACATGCTGCTCTTGTTTTCCGCATGATGCGAACAATAATCAATTCTTGCAATTTTCTCAATCATCTGTTTATGGATTACTCAGAAAAGTTGTTGGGTTTTTTTTTGGGAAACATGGCATATCCTTTGTAAAGGTTCTTTAAGAAGAAGGATTCCAAATTGTTGCAGGTGTTTGATGATTCCATCCTTGCTTCACTATGCAATGAGATATATCTTTTTCCAGAATACATGTATATAAGTAGATTAGTTAACAGAGACATGTATAGTTCTCTCCCGCCCCCTAAAAACAATTTTTGGCCATTCCAGCAGAAAGGAGGAAGAGGGGGTTAAGAATCAAAGAGACCCCTAGTTTTTTTTTTTTGGTCACAAGAGGCCCCTAGTTTACTTACACTTCATAGAGTGTAAATTAATCCAAGTTTCATGCTATGTTGCTGTTTGGTTATTGGTGTTCAAGAAGGAGTCCCAGCATTAAATTTGTCCTATGCCAATCAAGATGTATGCATGACCAATTTGTCACACTCTGAACTTCCATTTTGTTGGACTATATGTAGATGAAGCTACACGAATGTCATATAGGACACAGGGTAGAGGATACTTGATTCTGTGAATAAGAACATAAATAACAGAAGGAAAGTAATATCAAGCAGAATAATATAGCAAAGATAATAGATTAGGACACAATAAGAGAAACATTTTTTGCTATAGAGTTTCAACTTCCTACAGTCATAGATTAATATCAAAATTTACAATTAGAAAATGAATTTACTGACGCATCCCTCAAAAAAATGAATTTACTTTACTTACTACAGTACCCTGGACCTTATGATAAACTCAACCAAATATTCTGAGTAATCTATAACTCCTAACTTCTAAAAACTGTACAGTGGTACCTATTAGCTTGAAATATCACTACAAGAAAAGTATCCTGAACTTCAAGAAAATTATCCTTTTAGGATTTTATTAGAAATGATCATCCATTGCTTGGACAATTGTAGAATTACAATTGGCAGTATAAAGCATGTGTGTGTCATTAATTGAGGACATCCGAAAGGTAGACAACAAGAACTAAAATGGCTCACATGACCATTAACAGAAGTTTCAAATCCTCGGTCATAATTGACTCTCATTCTACTGGTATACGATTCCTACTTGTGACAAGTATGAAAGTTCACCAACTCCATAGAGGTGGTAGTTCTATGGGATTTGTGTTCATCTCCACGCAAAAGAGCTTGTTGCAACTAGCAAGTGTTCCCAACTTGCAAAACAGTGAGTTTATCTTCACTATTAGTTTTTGTACGAGCTCCACGATGTCATTATTTACTTTAGATGGCCCAATTGTTATGCATAACTATCAATCTTTGACAATGAGGTGAAATATGTAATTCAAAAACCTCATCAACCATCACTCTTTTTAAGGCAAATATATGACTCAGGTTAAGAATAACAAGATCAAGAATGATTTCTGTCCTAGATGACTATTGGACTACTCTTAAATGTCCTGATGTAAGGGTGTTTTTGGTAGCTTTTACATAGAGCTAAATGTTCCCCAAATAGTTTGGTAAAGGCTTTGTTGAATTGAGATGAGATGAGATGAGTTGAGTTGGGTTGAGTACGCCTGCTAAATGTTAGCAAACTGTAATTTTTCCATAATTATTATAAAGCTGTAGTAGAAATAAAAAGCCACCCTCTTTCATGTACTGTTTGCCTAAACTGACGTCTGAATGGGGTTTACCACTTATTCATGGTTCTAACTAAATAATGGGTACTACATTTTGTTGCTTATTTGATGGTACTCTTAATTTGGCTGTTGAGACTGAAATCATGAGTATTTTTATTCAGGATGCTAATGAGGAGTCAAAATCTGTTACAAAAGCATCAGACATGAAAGGTAAAAAATATCCATATGGACTATCACCCAGTTATACTTCAAAATAGATTAGCTATAAGCTAGTCACATGGCTGAACACAAGCCAGCTTGGATTTTGGTGTCAATCAGTTGCATGACTAATCAGATTTAACTTTTTGAGCTTCCACATTAACTGGTTGAGATTTGAGAGAAGTTCTAGGTTTACTACGCAAATTGCTCATTTCTACTATGGTTCAAACCTTTAAATGATTTAGAATGCTGTTTACTCGTCTCTAGCAATCCGAAGGCGGATGGAGAAAGATGTTGATGAAGTGGGAAAGATAGCACGAAATGTGAAAGCAAAACTAGAAGGAATAAACAAAGACGTAATACTCTCTTCATTTGTTTCGGATCCCTACCAGTATGTTCTGTGATACCTGTGAGCATGTTATGGTAGTGTAAACTGATTCCATTTACCTCTCTAGAATTTAGCCAATCGACAGAAGCCTGGATGTGGGAAGGGGACAGGTGTAGACCGATCGAGGACGAACATGACCAAGTGTGCTGCACATTTAAAATTTGAACCTCAATTTCATATTACTTCAACAGTGTTGTTCTTATTTTAAGATCAAAAGTAATTATTATTTCCCTGAATTTCAGTGCATTGACAAAGAAGTTCAAAGATCTGATGACAGAGTTTCAGGTATGCCTACTACATTCCTGGTTGTATGGGCAGTTACATCTCTTTCATCTTCTCATCAATCTACATTGTGTCAGACTCTAAGACAACAAATTGACGATGAATACCGTGAGGTTGTGGAAAGAAGGGTAATTACAGGTTGGAACTTTTAATCCTGCACACTGACAGAAATAAGAGAGCTCATTACAAAATCATAATTTTTGAGTAATAATTTTATTTCCATCAATGGTTGATTATTTTGTTTGTCCGCTGTGGCTTGTGGTTCAAATTCATGCTTGAGCAGTCACAGGAACCAGACCAGATGAAGAGGTTAGCCTTAATTCTTAACTTAACATTTGAGTTAATTGATATGTGATATTGCAACTGGCCCACATTTGATTACTGTATCAGACAATCAACCATCTGATAGAAACTGGAAACAGTGAACAAATTTTTCAGAAGGCTATTCAGGAGACAGGACGAGGACAGGTATTGCTTCTGTATTATATAGCATTTTTTTTAGAGCTGTATCACTTCAATTTTGAAATTTTCCGGCTGGTGAGAAAGTTGTGGCCTTTTTACTGGGCATGTTGTTTAGGGTAATTTTCATTTGTTTAGCCTTGGACCTAAAATTTCATATTGTTTTTACCCTTCTTGTCAAAAAAAGAAAAAAGGAATAACAACATCAAAAGATGATTTGATCCTCCTACGGATAGGTATATAGCTTGTGACTTAATTACAATAATTGACTTTTCCAAGGAAAAAATCCATAGATGTTTGTCTTCTATCTCCTTTGAGAATGATCTATGACTTGGAATGCTCGTGATGTTGTTTATGTGAATGGTAATACATTATTCACAAGTCACAATTCATCAAGTCTAGATCAAGTAGATTTTTTTGCAGGTTATATTTTTGTGAATACAAGATTTTGTGGTCTAGATAGAAAATTTTAGGTTTTTTTGGCTAGAAACTGTGTTTGCTTTCATTGTTTGTATGTGGGATTGTTAAAGTCACGATGGTTCAAAGAATGTCTACAAATCATCTTGAGCAGAGGTTAGCAAATATTAATTGTAGAAAAATGATAATGCACACCAAGCATGCACAACTCATGTTTACAGCTTCATGAAATTCATATTTGTGTGGAACCAAGGTAGTTACAATCCATTCTAGTATGGATGTGTGTGGATTTGTTGCTAAGATAAGTTGTTAAACGAATTCTTAGGTTAACAACTTTTAAGAAAGTTAAAGTTTGGAGACCCACAAGTGCCTGTCTACTAGGTCTTATTTTTTAACATAATTAGCCCTTGCTTTAGCATGTTTAATATCTTGAATAGTATACTTGAATCTTCCGTTGTTTTCAGACAGGAAAAGATTTTGTTATTCTAGCTTCCTATTGTAACAATTTGTCCTTCTAGAACTGAATTATCCATTCATGATCACGTAATGAAGGTTGCTAATTTTGCTTAGAACTTTCATCTCCTTACCCTTTTTAAAAGAGATAATTATAATTTGTAAAGAAAGAAATGAGAGGCAATCTTTCTCTTCATTTGGAATCTCAAAATTTTGCAAATATGCAGCTACATGGGTAGCCCAATGCAGAAGGCTCCTACCACTTGAGGGTTTAGGGAGGCTTAGACATATGTAGCCTTACCTCCATGTATGGAGCAGTTGTTTTTGTAAATATGCAACTACAGGTTATTTCTTTTTAGTAGTTTAGTTTTGAATCTGCATCAAAGTTTTGTGGTACTGTTTTTTTGGTCTTAAGTTTAGTGATACTTGAAGAGAGTGGAAATAAAGGTTATTTGGGAGATAATAGTTTTCCATCTTTTGGACCTCAGTTTCGTAGATTTCGTTTTCTTTTTATTCTGTGGCCTTTCCTCCATCAGAAATTCAGGACCGTTTTGTTTCTTTTTGTTATGTTTTATGTTTCTTTCAATTACTCGGGTCTTACTGTGGGAGGGGCCGGGTTTCAGGTGCTAAATACCCTAGAAGAAATTCAGGAGAGACATGACGCAGTGAAGGAAATTGAGAAAAAGCTTCTTGACCTGCATCAGGTATATTTGCACTTATCATCATGGACTTTAGCTCACATTTTTTGCTGAACTGCTTGTTTAACATGATTTTGTGTTATATTTTCAGATTTACCTGGATATGGCAGTCCTAGTTGAGGCTCAAGGAGATCTGTTAGATAACATTGAAAGCCAGGTTTGCTTCTAATCTTACAAGTTACATCATTTTTGTCTCTGTACCCCTTAGTTGCTGCAAAACAATGTGTTTTGCCCTCTCTTGTTAATTGGTATCTTGTTCAGGTTTCGAATGCAGTCGATCATGTCCAATCTGGGACAACTGCACTTCAGACCGCAAAGAAACTTCAGAAGAGCTCTAGGAAATGCATGTGCATTGCCATGATTATTCTCTTAATAATAGTGGCTATTATAGTGGTTGGTGTCCTTCATCCTTGGAAGAGTGGCTAGGGTGCTTGATTTTGTATCTTTTAGTCACTTGTTTGTGTTCTAGTCTCTGTACTGGTAGTCCTGGCTAACGCTTTCTTTGGCTGTGTGAGTTGGTGTGGCTTTCTCATTGATTTTTTTTTTAAAAAAAAAAAAAACATTTTTGGTGTATAGTTTGGTTTTCTAATGATGCTGGTGTAGAAGGATTGAGAGTTGGAGATTTAAAACATAGTTGCTTTCACTAATGAAAGAGTTTCTACGTTCAGTCTCTTATTTTGATTTGCTACATCATTTTTTGCCTAGTTTGGTATTTGGAGGCATACAATAGAACATGTTCCGCGCCTCACCCTTGTCTCCTTGGCTGGAGACTTCAAATGATGGGAATCCTATAAACAGTTTGCTTCTTTGTTTGCTATCCTATATATACTGTTTTTTTGTTTCCTTCACTCTTGATTACCTCCTGTTTACTTTTTTCGTTTATTTACCACTCTCTCTCTTTCGGTTGCACTTTTCTTTTCTATTCTTTTCTTTTTGTTTTCTGTCTGATCTTCGTCCCGGTATTGGTTAGTCTATAATCAATTATCATGATTTGACAATCTCCTAATCTGCTTTATGCATTTGAACCCTTCGTGCCCTTGCGTGCTTTGGGTCTTCGTGGGTCGACAAGAACGATATAAGGTATGAGCTATTATTCTTATATAGTGAACTTCCATTTTATTATTTCAACTATAGTGGTCAGGGACGGATTCAGGAATTAGAAAAATTGGGACAAGTCTTTAGGAAGAATAACACAAATGTGATAAAGTAGTTTTTGAAACGGACTTTATATAAAGGTAGCGAATATTCAAAATGAAAAGAAAAAAAAAAAACAGGAAAAAGAAACAAAATGTCTATTTTAGCATCAATTAGAAGCCTTTCATTTATGGAATGCTTATTGCTGATGGGGTTGAATTGTAAATTGTTCTTATTGTATTGTTTGGTGCTTGATGTCCTATATATGTTGTGCACCCAGTACTTGGAAGTCTAATAGAGAGTATTGCACGTGTTGCGAGGGAGATAAGACTAGGGAGAGAGATATGAGTGAGAAAATATCAAGAGAAGCAAACTTATACTTACAATTACTATGAGTAATCCTATTTGAACTAATATATTTGATTTAATTTGTTAATATAATGATATGACTTCAATAAAACTATTAGATCAATGCAAAAATCTATTATTTGATAAGACTTATAACTAATCTAAAGATTATAATGAATTAGGTTAACAAATTAAGTCAATAAATTAAGTCTTACTAACATTGTTGAATTAATAAATGAGGTTGGAAAAAGAGTCGTAAGTGCCAAAGGAAGAAAGAAAGCATCGGTATGACTAATATTTTAAGTGGAGTAGATGCTAAAAGACCCTCTACCCTTTTTTTTTATTACTAATTTCACCCTTTTTTTTATTACTAATTTCTGTGGAAGACATGATGCGAGTGCAAACTCTCGATGCATCTGACATTTAATGCGTGTAATATATATGTAACTGTGTTCTTCATGGATGTGTGTAAGAGGTAAAGAGCGGTGAGATGAATATGTGAGAGTGATGGCTAGGGAAAAAATGTGATAGAGATAGAAAGTCATGGGATAGTAGAAAGTTTCTACTTAGAAAAGTAACTATAGATTTAACTCGCTTATAGTAATAGGTTACAAATTAATTATCCATAAAGGGAGAGGACACAAAACTCCTCACCCTTTATTAATAGTAAATCATCTGTGTGGAGATTATATTAATCTGGGTCTCGTATGTTTAAGCTAAGGTCCAAGTGTGCAGTCTAGCAAGTCAAAAGTATAAAAGGGAAGAAAGCAATTTTTCCTCGATGGATAGACTCAATTCAGCTCACGAAGAAGACAAAGAGTTGTCCTCGCTGTTTTATCTCATCTTGGGCCTTATGGCACAAATGTCCATGTATATGTTGGGTGGAAGCAGTTTTCAAGAGAAAAAACTTGAGCAAAAGACTCCCTAAGGGTCGAGCGCCAGGCTGCCAGCTTAGAAGGTACCTAAATGAGTAAGAGCTATCACTTTAAGAATAGTGTCATTTTGACTCTCAGAATGGATCCATGAATAGAGCTAGGAGAACTTGTGCACGCAAGATAAGTGCTATGGCCAAGAACCAGAATAGAGGCCAAAAACTAAAGAGCAGTCCAAGCAAAATAGAACTACACCTCATCATAGGGCGAAGAGTATCACTTGCAAACAAAAGATGTGAGGCACCCGTCAACCTTAGATAGACGAGACAAAGAGCGTAACTCAAGGGGTGAAAACTCAAAAGAGGTGGAGGTCCAAACAAGGCTAGATACAAGCAGAGGGATGAATCCAGGTAAGGAGATGGGGGCAATGCCACGGAAATGCATCGCATTTGGTGATGCAATATAATATAGGAGAAGAATTAAAAGACACAAATTTGTAATCTTCAATTTTCCACCTTTTGAAATGCACTTGCTCTTGTTTGATGTGATAACTCAAAAAAAACCCCTCCCCTCTACTTCCCAATCTGGGCAAGATGCCGGCGTGCCCTGAGAACCCCTTTATGAACAACAATCCTGGAAGGAAGGCGGTCTTTCTTTCTTTGTGGAAGGGAAGCTTTACTAAAACAATGTTTAGTGGAGCAAAGAGATTCGAAGGCCGAGAGATAGACTAGAGTTAACAGAAGACCAATAAAGATGAACTTTTTTATTTGAGCCTGGTTCAGAGCCTTTCCAGATGAAACCACTGCCATCGATCAATCATAGGTCCCACACTGAGCCCCTATTGGTTGGGTCAGCTGCCCATTAACTGCAGCTAGGTCTGACTGTCAAAGGCTTAAAATGGAGCCACCATCTCTGAAAGTTACCCGTTTTCATGAATACTTCTTTTACACAAGCCGACTAGCATGTTAAGAGATGTAAGATATACAAATTAGACCAATGCTCCATTTGGGCTTCAGAAAAGTATTACATCAACACTAACAACTGTTAATTGCACATAGGGAGGAACCCTTTTACACTCGATGTAAGATTGAGAAGTCTTAAACCCTCTCACTGATACATCCAAAATTCACCTTTTAAATGCTTATTCCTCTGCTGATCATTGTACTGGTTGAATTTCAAGCCAGTCGAAGATCAAGAGATATCCTGTCAATAAAATGAAATTCACTTCCATATGGAGCAGTAGATGGAGTTCCTCTTGATCTCGGTTGACTTGTAAATTAATCCATATTAGGCAAGTATTCCAAGGAACAAGCGGCTACATAATAACTCCCTTCCCCTTCTCTGTGGAAGAAAACTAGATCCATTGCTATGCACACAAAAAACTCAGTAGAAAATTTTCTAAAACATGCAGCTCTTATATTTTCACACCCACACAGACAGATAAGAGAGATCCATAAAGACCCACACTCACACACACAAACAGATAAGAGAGATTCATAAACAGCGAAACACACAGAGATAGATATAGAGATGTATTAACTCACACACACACACACACACATACATGTGAGTGTGTACATATATATAGAGAGAGAGAGCGGTGAACATCTTCGAGCATCATTTGTCTATTTCATGGATGTCATAATTGGACAGGAATTACTTATCTGAACACACATTTGACTGATGCATAGCATCCTACAGAGAATTGATTATGTAGTCCTGCATATATTGCATTACCATGACTGGCTTTAATCTAAAATTTATTTTTGTGATTATTTGGCAACTAAGTTATTTCTTGACCTTTGATCATAGGTGATAAATGCAGTGGATCACGTGCATATGGGCACCGATGCTCTCCAGACTGCAAAGAGCTTGCAGAAGAAGTCAAGAAAATGTATGATGATAGCCATTTCCTTACTCTTGGTCATTGCAATCATAATCGTACTCTCTATTTTGAAGCCATGGAAAAAATAAAGAAGGAATGGAGAGGAATGACAAACTACCCTTGGTTGTGAATCGTTTTCCATAGTACATACAAGCCATAACACTGAGAATGGTTTGCTGCTGTTGATCCATTCCATTTGTTCTCTTTCTCCAGACTTTCTGTGGTTCATTGCTTTATTAAGACAGTTATAAGCAATAAAAGAAGAATGTGCGTGGAATATATTTATTTTATTCCTTGGCATACAATCTCCAGTCATATTTGATTTTGATAACCTTGATTTTATATTTCATAACTTATTTCAGTAGTATTATCATCCTGATAACCTCATATGAACAATTTAATATTTCCTAGCACATATCAGGCGATTTTATTGGCAGCAATTACTAACTGCTAGCTAGGATGGTGAGCAGCTGATTATTGAGGTATTCCCTGTATTCTTTTTGGTACCTATAGTTTCTGCAATTTAATACAAATCACTACAAAGGATATCACAGAGCCTGACCTATTGGCGTCTGAAAGTGCAACTGCCTTAACTTTAACATCATGGTGGTTGCTGCAAAACCAGCACAGGGGTTCTCATAGATTTGCAGGCTGGTCTTGTCTGTAAGAGCATCACAATACTTACCCGAAAAAAGAGCATCACAATCCAGGGTACAGCTGATATATCAGTGTTGTCTTTCTTGCTTGCCATCTACAGTACTTCCCTTGTGGATAGGGATTAAGTGGAAAATTAGAATTGTAAGGTTGGGAAAAAAAAAAAACAAACTACTAATACCTGGAGGCATCACATAATACAAGCCCTGATCATTACACTGTTCACTTGAGGATTTTTATGTTGCAAGATGCACATAAATATTTGGGTAACGTGGGTTGTAATCACCAAAGAAAGAAGCTAGAATCCAGCCCAACATATCTGTTTCTTCACACAATTGACTAAAACTCACTCACCTTCATATAATTTTTTTTATCGACCGTTTTGATCAATATTAGTTAAAACTCACCCCATTCACACTTCGCATAGCAAACTTGCAAAAATCCACTCAAATGATAAAATTCTCATTCTTGAAATTTTTTTGGGAAATTATGGCAGAGCCAATCAGTAGTCTTCTTCCGCTCAGTATTTCTCCATTTTTATTCATATGTCAAGCAGACCCATCCAGCAAGCTCATTTGTTCTCAGGCCTGTTTCTACATGGCCTATACTTCCCAACTGCAGCGTCTCATCCACTTGCTAACTGCTAAATTCGAGGCAACCCAACCTCCTCTCCCTTCCATGAAGCAGCACATTTATATTGACATCACATACCGAAGTTATTTTCATATTCTAATAGTAATGTCATAACCCCCAAGTATAACCTTGAATTAGGAGGCGTGTAAGCAATGATTCATTCAATTCCCTGACAAGGGTTTGATATTTAGGACCTGAGCAAGAGCCCAACCGGATCATCCCAAGAATTACCCAGCTCTTTTCACTTCTTCCCCATGTTTTTTCATCCAAAGAATGGAATTTATCCTCTACCAAATAGTCTGAATTTTCGAACACTCGATGACTGTTTAATTTAGGCATTCTCGTTGTACTATTAATGAACTCTTTGCTTTTCTGGAATCCTTTGGATGAGAATGCTAGGCTGTCTCACCTCACCTGTTCCAAAGACACTAAGCTCCATCAGGCTCCTACCCTTCTTTGGATTAATGCCTTGCCCTTTTTGTTTTCTTACTCCATTTGTATACTTTACGCATCTCTGGTGGGTGTATATAAAGGCAGACAGACAATATGTCTACCATACCCCCATTCTAAAATGACCAAGGGCCTGTCTGTCAAAAGCTCTTTGGTTCTCATAACAAATAAAATGTTCCAACTCATTAGTTCTCTGTAAGACCCAATTATTTGAACCTAAAAGTCCCGCCTAATTGACAAAATTTAACCCACAACGAACTCAAATATCTTCAAAGCCTACAAAATCTGACACCTTAGATATGATTCTAAAGTTTTGGGTTGCAATTCCTTCCACTGAACCCACAAAGCAGTAATAGCGTATTGGTGAAACGTTGCTAATTCCCGAAAAAGAAGTATGCTTTTCCCAAAACTTTTGGTGCTAGTGGGAAAAACAAAAGCAGCAAATGAAGAAATACAACTCGAGAGTTCTGGTCACATTAAGATTCAGAAATTTTCGACTCAAGACCACAAGCCATAATTGCATGTGCCTCCTCCTGACCACCATTATTATCAGTCTGACATCACAAATATCTACGAGCATGAGGTGATAATTGCTTCAGCTAAAGAGGAACTGCATTAAGATCTAGAGCCCCTTCAATTCCTCATGGACTTATAGGGCTCAAGTTGCATTCTCACACCCATACAATCATACACAAAGGGTATAATTCAGCGATTTCATTCGACTAGTCAGCTACCAATAAACAAGCACGTAAAATAAGCAAAGATGAAAGTAGCTATCGGAAAACAAGCAGATCACAAAACAAGCTAAAACTCATCCTACAAGGAAATTCATTGTGCACATGAAATCCAGCTACAACAATTACACAGTTTATATTTACGGTATGTTTAAATCTCTCATTATATTATGAATTATATTTACCAATTCAACAAAGATCCAGTATAGTTAACTCTTTGGTGATCGAATAGAAGAGATCGAAAAGAAGTCGTACCTTCAAAGGCGTTTCCGATAAACCAGTGGCGGTGAATCGATTCCTGCAAAAACACAAAAAAATAAAAAAAATGGTGACGATTTATAACAGAGATTCGAGTTCGTTCGATCGATCGAAATCACTATGTAAAAAGTAAGTTTAAGCGCAGAAATTTCGACAAGAGTCGCTGTACTGGATGCACAGATATTGAGAGAGAGAGAGAGAGAGAGAGAGAGGAGAAAGCGATAGTCGATCTTAGTCGCACATACACGGAATGAACAACTGAGAAATAAAAAATTATGGAAAAATTTGGAGTTATCCGGATTTAAGCCCGTCAAAAAATTTTATTTTTTATGTAGCCTATATTTTGTTAATCTCTTTAGAAGCAAAATAAACTAAAAATTAAAAATTCTTAACTTTAATAGTTTTATTAACATTAAAAAATTTTCACCCTCACATCTATCTATATTCATATATAAAATAGAGTTATATATGCATATATATATATATATATATATATATATATATAAATGTTTTAGAAATTTTTCAGCATAAATGAGAAATACTTGATGGAATTAAAATTAAGAAATAGTAACATTCAATATTAATATTTTTATTAACCTTAAATTTTTTTTTCTTTTTTACCCTATTTATATTCATATATAGGGTAGAGCTATATATATTAAAAATAAAAATAAAAATAAAAAATTATAAAATTCAATATTAACATTTTTAAAAAATAACAATAGTAACATGTTTAAAAAAAATAATAACATGTTCAACAAAAATAGTAACAAACTTAACAAAAATAATAACCTGTTTAGCAATAGTTATCTCTCTCATATCTATCTATATATAG